CTTGTTCCTTAAAATAAGCATGTCTCACTTCGAACCTTAATACATATAAGGAGCTTTTGAAAATGAAATCGCAATTTCTTCATCTCACTAAATATTTAAATTAAAACTTGTATATCGCTTTTTTTTTCTTTTTAAATATTGAAGTTTTTACTTGGCCCACCAAAATTTTTTTTCTTGATTTTTGGCCCTCAACCAAAAAAGTTTGCCCATCCCTGCTCTAGGTCAAGTAGATTTGAATCAGGAAAACACTTTTAAAAAAGTTTCCAACAAAATAATGAAAAAAGGTATAACAAGAAAAATTGAAGAAAACAGGGTCAGTTTCATTTCTAACTGGTACGGAAATCATAGATATTGAGCACTCAATATGTCAACCTTTCACAGAAATAATTCCAACTAAAGAAGTTTTTATCCTCAAGTATTCAATTATTTACAAAGTAAGGTAACACATTTACCACATTTCATATTATCAAGATGCCACCAAATGCTTTAAACAGAAAATCTTTTGTTTACCTGTTTAATACCATGGTGCTAAGAGCTTCACCATCTATGTCTTCAGCAATAATGATCAATGGTTGACGTTTAGAATTTGCCAGTTCCAAAGCTGGTATAATAGATTGAACACTAGATATTTTCTTCTCACTGAATAATACCAATGCATTTTGGTATTCTATTTTGGCACCTGAAATAGGTTTTTAAACATTTAATCCTCTTTCTTAATGCTTGCTAAAAATAGGAATATAGTTAATTCAAAGCAATAAATTTACCCTTAGCTGTATTAATAAAATAGGGTGATATATATCCTCTATCAAACTTCATTCCTTCAATAACTTCTAATTCATCAGTTAATGTCTTACCGTCCTGTAAATATTAATGCAATGTTATACACAATAGGAAATTAATAAATTATTTAATTTTCAGAGTAAAATAACTTAACTAAAAATAATCTAATAATTATTTCAAGGGATTCATACTATCTATAAGGTACACAGTAACATAAGTAAAAAAACACATAAGTAAAAAATCGTGAAAATATGGGAGGACTTGATTATAAAAGCATGAAAAATTGAAATTCATATCACTTTGGTTTAAATTACCAACATCAAGAATTCCTAACAAA